AATATTCTGTAATCAATAATTATCTTTAGTTATTTTATAGGTAGGTACCTGTCAGCTTCCACTTTCTGTTTTATTGTCAGTTCCTTCGTCGACATGCTCATCGGTTAGCATAGTTATTATGGAGTTTTTACAACCTCGTATAGTTTCAGCGCGATTATGTTTATGAGTGTTTTCCACAGTTCTTTAAGAAACGAACTAGGACAAAGTAACGGCAAAAATATTCATCTTAGATTATTGGTGATCATTGCAGTTTTTATTTAAGCAAAATTGGTTGAATGGTCTATTTTATAATAACCAGTCCGAATAAATTCCAGTAGTCGAATTAAAATAATACATATTTGTCGCTGACGGTCAAACACTTCAGATACCAATGGCTTATTATTAAAAAAAGAATATTAGATAGTCGTATAAACTTATGTCTGGATTATCCTGTCTGGTACTAAATAAATACTACATAAATGATTAAACAACAAACGAAGAATGAATTAACACCTACTTGTTACTGTTGATCAAAAAGTTCAGATACAAATAGTTGATCAACAAAACGTTTTTAAATATTTGTAATATTACCGTTATAGTTGCTATTTCGACTTTTGGAAAGTTGTGTTGTCTTAATATTTGCGATCACTCATCACTGTTCCATTAAGAAAAAAAATAATAAATGTAAAAGAAATTTCTGAAGAAAACATTGAACTTTGTGAACGAAAAAAAATCTTTCACTGATTGGCAAAATACAAATAATGATTGTTGTTTACAGTTTATTTATCGACCAGGCAATTTTGATTTTTCCGTAACCAAGTGACTTATCGTCGCTAAGTTACTAATCGTGTATGGCGAACAAACGTGGCAACGTTATAATACAGGTAATTCGAAGAAAATGATCTCATTAAATTATCGACAAACTTTGACTACCGTTATTGTCGAAGAAAAATGTATTTAAAAGCCATATTCCTTTTTAAAAAAACTGAAAAATGTTCATTCGCATGCTATATTAAATCCTTTTGGCTTATAGACTGGGGGTAATCAAATAACAGTGCCAGAAAAAATTATCCAAAAATCTATACAATGACTACCCACCATAAAAGGAATTCAGTATATTTTATCATCAGGTCAAACTGTTTGGTATCGAAAATATAATTTGACACTTATTTTTAATACAGTAAACTGTTAAAGAACAGTTTAACAGTTCTTTAACTAAGCAAAGCATATTGTTAAAAATATTTTTACAATATTATTGAAAAATTATTATTATTAACATTAAACTGCGTATAAGTGCATTCTGCTTACAATAATTTGCAGAAAATATATTTTTAGAATTAGACCGGTTAAGATTAGAATAGGTCGTCTGTCTACTGCAATTTGTTCTTGATTCATAGTTTTTAAAAAATAAAAACATTACAATGTTTTAAATATGTATCGACTTAATAACTTTTGTATTGATTTCACACCAAACCTCTCAATAAACGTTTGAATATAATAATATGTATATTACCGCAACATGATAAATAGTTTAACAGTAAAAAGGGTTTTTAATTTTTGTAAGATTATGGTTAAAACTATGAACTAATATTAAAAGAATATAAGAAAGTTGTATGTTGTTTGAAAATTTTCCAAATTTATACTAAATAATAAACACTATTTGAATAACATTAATACAAACATACCTGTATTGGAATTGGTCGACAAATGCTTTTCCAATAGTCGCCACATCGTTTTCAAAAATTCTGCCGTCTCAGTAACACAACCTTCAATCCTTTTGAGTTTCGATCACTGTTATCCATTAAAAAAGAAACAATAAAAAAAAAATTTCTAAAGAAATAATTGAGTTTCAACGGAAAGAAAATTGCTTGAGTTGATGTAAAAGTAAAAACCGTAGGTAATGATTATTGTTTATTTATCGGCTTGGCGATTTTGCTTTTGTCCGTCGCTAAGCACATTATTAGCAGTGTATAACGACCAAATATTAATATATTAACTATAGTGATGTGAATCCGAAAATCTGTATATTCACAAAAAATATAAACGCTATTTAAGCCATATAAAAATCATTCAAGTATTAAATATTATTACAATATATAGCTGTGTACTTAAGTTAAATATAATCGATAAAATTGTAAAAATAAAACACAACACTGAAAAGGTAAATTGCTTTTGGATTTCGGATTTGTTGAAATGGAATCCGGAATCCGAAATCAAGTTATAGTCAAAGTTATGCGTTTTATTTTTAATTTTCACCAAAACATTTTACTTAGGGTGCACCTGAGTAAAATGTTTTGTAGCTTTATACTGTAATGTTATTTAATAGTTTAAACATTTTTAAAGTGGCTGAAATATCGTTTTTTGTTTAAAATCGGAATTTTCGATTTCTCATCACACTTCAAACATATTTTAAAGTAATTTAAGTGTATTCAGATACAATTTTGGTAATAACCGGCCGAGAAAAAATTTCACTAGTTGTATTAATAAAAAGACGAATAGATTTTTTTATTGTTAGTCAAACACATCAGAATAGTTGAATAGTAATATTATTAAATATATTATGTAAGTTTTAAAAATATATGTGATTGTAAATCTAAACTAAAAATGTATTAGACAGTTTTGAAAATATATTATTTTAAAACATGATATTGTTCTATTCATCTTCTTTACGTTACAAATTATAATTTTAGATTTTAGATTGTAATTTCATGTATGTCAGCATGGTGTTTTCTAGAATTTTTTCTAGTAAAATTACCTTTTCAATTTTAGTGTTTGTCTATTTAGGATGGGTGAACCTAAGAACACCTTCTTTTCATAAAAAAAACATTATAGCCTCATAAATAATTATAAAATAATAATATCTTCGTATGATATGGATGGGATAGCGGTTATATTAGGTGTATCTTAGGTGCTTTTATGAATTACTAGTAGGTGCATTAAACATATGTTATATAAATTATCTATTTAATATTTCAATCCCAGGAAGCTTTAACACATTCATATTGCTTTATTTTTGTTAATGCCAAAAAATTCAGTGTACCTCGGTGGTGATTCACAGTGATCCAATGACTGAAAAAATTTCGTTCTAATACCATATTATAAAATACATTTTCTATTATAATGTTCATTAGTTTAAACTCAAACTGATAACAGTTAATTGTGAGTCCCTTTCTAGTTCAACCGATTTTTAATTAACCTCCCCTTTTTTTTTTTTTTTAGAAATAAGGTGGGCTGTTGATCTATGACTTCCCTTCACTTGATTTAGCTGTTAGAAAATGATTTGGATTTTTTGAAAAAACTATAAAAAAAAAACTAAAAACATTAACGCTTATAGTACAAATTTAAAAACAAATACATATATAGTGTTCACATATAATACCATATAAGGTTATATTATATTTATTACTTATAACATACTTATATTCCATGACCCAAATAGACAATATTAATTATATTCAATAGATTTTTATAATATCATTGAAAACGTACTTCAAGTAATGAAAACTCAATATCTGTTTTCAACAAATATGCTTCAGAGTACGGTTACAATTAAAATAAGTTGTTTTCAACCAAAATTACTAAGATGTAGAGGCTCCTTAAGGGAGGAGGGTCGTGATTGAAGTCTGAAAATTAGTCCGAAGGTAGACCTAGAATGAGGCTATAACATATACAATTTTCTCAAAAATTTGTTAGGAAGTTTTTTTTTATTAAAGAAAAAAGGGGGGGGGAATAACACTTAAAATATTAAAATAAAACTATGAAAATATTTTCATTATCTTACCACTTAATAAAATCTTTATTGTTGACTTAATACAGAATTGGAAATTTCTAGACAGCTGTCTTTTTTTAGAATTTACTTAAATGAAATGATCATCTTTTATAAGAGCTGTTGAACACATTTTACCCTCATCCGTTCATTTAATGGTCATTACCAAAAATATCTACTCTTTCAGTAAATTGACTACTTGCGGGTAATGGTAATAAAAATGAAATCAACAAAAACATATTTGGCAATTCTATATTTTTCTGAAACAAATTGCTACTATTCTAATATAGTTTTCAAATCTCTTGGAGATTTAAAGTCTTTGGTCTTAAAAAATTATTAGATAACTGATTTTACAGTAGTTATTTAATCAAAAATTTAATTGTGGTATGGTATATAATGTTTATAACTATGTTGGAATTGATTTTGGTTTTCATAAAAATTATAATAACTATTTAAAAATATTAAAGCGCTTCGTTGTAAAAAAGATAAAAATTTTCTTGTTATACCTACCTAGTACTTACTTGCAGATTTGTATCCTGTAAATTGTATACAAATAGGTAGCATATAAAAGTGATAAAAGACCGCACAATAAAATTGAAAATAACATTAATGAATTATAAAAAGGTATTTTTTCATAGACTGTGGTATTTAACCACAGAATATATTAAATTTAATCAAATATTTAGTCTACTATGTGCTTAAACTATATTATAAGGTCGATTTATTAATACGTAGGATTGTAGTACATACATTTTAATGTGCTGTTTGACCCGTGAAAAATCAAACACATGTAAGACGGTTGGCAACACTAAATTTGAAGGTGTGAAGATATTTTACCAAATACCTAGTTAATTGTTATTCGAACGATAATAATTATTTATTTAGCAATATTTTAAAGTCCTCATGACTGTATATATTACTAAAAATTTGATATTGTTTTTCGAAATGTGGAACAATATTAATTAGGGCCCAAGATGTTGGTAGGGTACAATTTTACCTCCACATACTCACAGGTGGGCCGGCAACTTGTGGTAGCCGCAAAATGGCTACCGGCGTCCTCGGGCGGCCGAGTATTTCTTACGGGAGAACGCCGGCGGCCATGTTGTGGAATCCAATCACACGAGTTGCAAGCATACCTGTTTGTTTGTAACCGCGGCGCCGTCCTAACCTAACCGAAAATGATAAAAAAAAACGTTACATTAAAACGTGTACGGATTATGTTTGTGATAATTTTTATCCCTTGTTTTAACAAATGTGTTTTCTTTAAAAGTTTTTACTTATTAATAAAGATAATTTGGTGTTTTGTGTTTCTCCGGTACGCTATTGTTGTTCAGTGTTTGTTAAGTTAATATAAAATACCGAGTCGGTAAAATGCTGTGCTGAAATTGCATTACTCGACTAGCGTTCGATTACAATAATTTACAAAGGTAAATCACAGAGTTGACTAAATCTCAATGAATATTTTATCTATTTAGTATTATGAGTGTACATTGTTGTTGACGATTGGAAACATTGTCTTTGCATAAAGAATTTGTTAAAAAAAAAAAAGTGAATTATCGGAAACATTGCCTGATGTTCCCCTTTTTTTTAATTATACTATTTTGTAGCCAAATCAATTAGTGGGTTACTATAGGTTTATTATATAAATTAGTGGGTATACAAAAAAATTTTATCGCTTCGCTCGAATTTGGCATAAATGCGTTTACGTTTCCTCACTGTACTCAAAATTGTAAATCCACATAACTATAAGTACTTGATACAGTATACTGATGTATAAGTCAACATTTGAAATTTATCTAATATCTTAACAGTACTTTTTTACTACAAAAAAGAATATTTCAATTATTTAATTTTAAACTAACAATTTTGTATACAAATCGGTGTTTACTTTTTAGTTATTGAATAGGTACGATTAATTACATTTATCACAGAAACGTCTCTTACAACACTGCGTGTCTTCATGAATTCTAGTTTTTAGTAATGGGGCAACGAAGAAAACCAACATTTACTTTATCCCCGATATATAATATTCTTTTAAAAATTTTTGTTTTACATACATAATTAACAATTTTCTGTTTTGCATTAAGTACAGTAAACCCTTGCTAAGAAGGAATCGTTTAGGACCGACCAGTTTTTTCTGTCCTGACAAAGTTCACAATAAAGGAAAAATTAAAAACCACCGAAAATGTATGAATGATTGTTTATTTTTTTATACATAAAATTATTGTAGTATGGTGTAAACAATACAATGTAAATGTCCTAATTTGAGTGATGCTTTCATTTTCTATTTTATTGGGAGGTTGTCGTCAATTTTGTTGTGAAAACGTGTCAGTTTCCGTCATTGCGGGGTAATTCTTAATGTATTTAACCAAACCAAAGACATTTTTAACTTATCAATATTAATCTAACAATCAACGTTTTCCCTTAAAACTTAAACCTAAAAAAAACATGTATTTAAAAAAAAGGAATTTTCAAATCATAGAATACATTATTGTACATTAAAAAAAAAAAGTCTGCTCACCGTTAAGAACAACAATTATATAGGTACTATTAAATGTTTTTACCATAAAAAATCGTATTGAACAGAAGAAGACATAATATATTAATTAAAAAATAAAAATAAAAAAATAAAAATTATTATATTAAGATAGTGTCTTTGTAAAACTTTAATGAAAAAAAACCTTCGTTCACTTACATATTGTTGACATTTTTTCTTTTTTCTTTTCCAATCGTTTTGACCACCGGTTATAAGTTTAAGAAACTTTTCAAACAATTAAATATACAATTGTTTACCGATGATGCCAAAATTAAATTTTCAAAATAATTTATTCAATTTTTTATTGTATCACTTTACAGCAAGATTTAAATAATTTTCATAATTGATGCTTTATAAATGGTCAGGATTTAAATATTGAAAAAAAAATACGACAAATCATAATCGTTTAATCTATAAAAAACTACGACGGTTATGTTTAACTATAAGTAATATTACTGATGAATCAGTTAAATCTTTTAACTTTAGAATACACATTAAAATTACATTTTGTTAAAATTTGTTTCTATTTTCGTTTCCAATCGTTTTGACCACCAGCTATTTGGCGTTTTCATGGTTGTGGCCGTGATATCATTTTCCCAGCACTCCCTTCTAACGAGCCAAATCATAAAGTCACACACACACCTAATAATTTGACATTATAATGAATTAATAATTTTAAATAATTTGTTTTTATAGTGGACAAACTTTTGATTCCTGTTATTCAGACTTCAGTGGGCTCACTCTCTTCAACCATGTCAACACCATCGGCCAGCAACAATGTCGCTGCTTTTAGTCAGCATAGAGTTATTTTTTTAATTTATCTAACCTAACGCGAGGGAATATAACACAGGGACGAGGCTTTTGAAGCCTGGCCAATAAAATGGCCATACTTGGCCATAAATAATATAATAAACGTGAGTCACCACCATGTATGAAATTGCTGAAGAAAGAAAAGCTAGTAGTAAAAAGAAATTCACAAATTTATACACATGATTTATTATAATTGTGACTATTATATTTTTAGGATGACCTTTCTGTAAATCTTCGGCACATCTTTATAGGGATTGCCCAAACGAAAAAGGTTTGGATTAATAATCTCTTTATTAATAAATTTGTTTTTAAGTAATATAAAAAAATGTTTTGTCCATAATATTGTTGGTAGTCCTTATGCAAAAAATTCCAAACACTTAACTTAAAAAATAATACTAGCCAAGTTCCTAACATCAACTTTTTGTCCTTAGGGTATTAAAACAAATCATAGATTTTTATCAAAGCATTTTACTTAGGGGCACAACTTTATACTGTGATAATATTTAATAACGTGTTTTATGAATATAAGGGTTTTCGGATACAAGTATATGTATATAGGGCATTCTAATTCTTGCAGTCATCGGCCTGACTTCAATTGTTTTTCTGTTGTGGTCTAATAAGAGGCCTTTTAAAAAACCTTACCGCTCAATTTAGATTGATAAAATAGAGGATTTTTAATTTATTATTATTATAATTAACCAAATTTATTTATATTTAAGCAACATCGGGATCATCTAATTACACGAAAGGTGGTCGGTGTGAACTGATATTATATTATATATATGTATTATTAAATTTTTTGTTTCAGAATGTAGGGTGTGCTGCAGGGTCGGTCACCTGGCCCGTTTTTGTATAAGTATATACCGAACGTAAGTAGTAAAATATTTACTCAATAGTAGTACCTACACATAGTATACACAGTCATTACCTCTCGCATACTTAAATATTTACTAACATTGTTGTTCAGGCGGAAACCGACCAGCCGAAAGGGTACTGAAGCAGCCTCCACCCGTCACCCAAAGCCACCGACACCCAGTCGCTGGACCCTGCTCAGGTGCACCCCCACAAGTGCCTGAGCCACCGCAAGATAAATAAATATTGTAATATTTTTATTTTGCCCGTACAGAAACTTGGAATTTAAGTAATTATTCTTGTTTTTAAATTAACAATGCAAGTAGGTACAATTAAATGTTTTTATTATAAAAAATAGTAACGAACAGAAGCATAATATTATAATATAAAAATCTCATAATGGTAGTGTCTTTATAAAAAATTATTGAAAAAAAACATCCGATCACTTACATTTTGTTGACATTTTTTTTTCTTTTCCAATCGTTTTGACCACCGGCCAAAAATTAAAAAAAAAAACTGGACAATACATAGTTCAAACACACAAATATATAATTGTTTACCGATGATGCTAAAATTTTAAAAAACAATTTATTTATTTTTAAATATCGCTTTACAGCAATATTAAAATATCGTTTGATCTAAAAAAGACCATGATTATTGTGTTTAACTATAAGTTTTACAATATTACTGTTGAATCGGTTAAATCTTTTAACTTTAGAAATCACTTTTACGCCAAGTCATGCTTGGTCTCATTTTGTTTTTCTCACCACTTCACTAATAAAGCTTAGTTAAATCTCCGTCCCTACTATGCCCCGACCCCACTGTACTGGCTTTTTTTTTTTAAATCAATACCGCTCAATTTAGATTGATAAAATAGAGAATTTTTAATTTATTATTATTATAATTAACTAAATTTATTTATTTTTAAGCAACATCGGTATCATCAAACTACACGAAAGGTGGTCAGTTTGAGCTGATTATATAATATGTATATTATGAATTTTTTGTTTCAGAATTAGAATTTACGGGATGTCTTGGTTTGCTGGTCTTCTTCGACGGGAACGAACGATGATTTAAGATTTACACGGTTCAGAACAACAATTATATAGGTACTAATAAATGTTTTTATTATAAAAAATCGTATTGAACAGAAGAAGACATAATATAATAAAGAAAAAATATAATAATAAAAAAATAACATAATCATTTATTAAGGTGTAGTGTCTTTATAAAAATTTAATGAAAAAAAAACCTTTGTTCACTTGCGTATTGTTGACATTTTTTCTTTTCCAATCGTTTTGACCACCGGCTAAAAGTTTGAGAAACTTTTTAAACACTTAAATATATATTTGTTTACTGATGATGCCAACATTTTCAAAAACAATTTATTCAATTTTTTATTGTATCGCTTTACAGCCAGATTTAAATAATTTACATAATTGGTGCTTTGTAAACGGTCAAGAAATTCGAATATTATCTAGTTTTGTAATACAACGTAAACAAATGTGTTTTCACAATATTTACTACACATATTTCACCCTTTTTTTGTAAATGGAGTTCTTCGCGAATAACTAAAATAAATCGGGCAAGCCGAGTTCAAATTCGGTATCAGTTTTAAAATTATTGGGTTAAAGTCTGAGAATTTTGTATTTTATATCACGTGAGTCATATTATGTCATGTAATAATTTATAATGTTTTTTAGCTAAAATTTAAGTATCGTGTACAGTAAAATATGTATTAAATTGTAGTCTTGTCTGATCTCCCGTTTTGAACAAAAATAAGACGTGCTGCATTAATGCACTTTACCAAGCACTATTTCTTTATTGTAATTTTTAATTTTAGGTAGATTAACTTTTTACAATATGCTGGAAAAAAATGTGTCGAAGCGTTTTAGTTTTACATGAACTTGTTTAACACAATCCTAAATTATTCATTCGTTAAAATTGATTTTTTTATTTATTTATTATAATTTAGCGAGTATCAATGTAAAAAAAAAATAAAAAGGCTATGACACAGATAACGTTCTTGTCTATGTATTGCGAAAAATGTTTATTTTTTACAAATATTATGTGTTTGTCCCTCGCAGAGCATTTTTGATGGGAAAAAAATAATGAGCACTGTAATAATCCAATTTTTTTGTTTTTTAGGCAACTACAAAAGGCCTCAGGCCGTGAAAAGGCTGTGTGAAGGTGGTGGTCACTACCACAATGTTACGCTGTAAGTATTCACTTATCATTTTTTTTTATATAACCATAAAACCGTTTTTTTTTTATTTTAGACAACTGTTCATTATCATTATGGGGAGGCACCCCTGCCCAAAAAAACCATAAAATGTCACAGATGTCGTGGTGACCACCACATAAGAAAATGCCGGGAAAAAAAAAGTAAAAAGAACTAAACTGTATAAAGACGGTCGGATTAATCTCTTAATTAATACATTTTTTAAATAATTTAAATAATATAAAAAAATGATTTGTCCATAATATTGCTGGTAGTGCTTCTGCAAAATATCCAAACACTTAACTTAAAAAATAATTCTGTTGTGGAGAGCCAAAACTGATAAGTTCCTAACATCAATATTTTGTCCCCAAGGACATTAAAACAAATTATAACTTCATTAAATGTTTAACCAATGATGTAAGAAATACTCCAAAATAAGGATATATAATATAATAAAATCAAATTTTGTTTTTCAAATAAATGTTTCGGTGTTTACACTTTGTTTAATTCTATTTCTATATATTTTTTATGATTTTGCTATAACTATATTAAAATATAATAATTTCAGGGACTGACGCGAGTGAGTCTGTCATATTTAAAAATAAATATTCTATGTTTATAATTAAAAATAACAAAAAACTGATTTAAATTATAATAAAAAAATATTTAAAAACAGTTACAAATTAGGAGAAAAAAATACCATTTGTATGGGTAGAAACCATAAAATTACTATTTGCATAAATGGAACAAGTCCAATATTTTTAACTTTTTTTATTAAAACAATACTATATTATGTTACATTTATAACATAGCAACAAAAAACTACGGATTTTAAAACTTTTTTTTAAACCAGTTAGTGTTGAAAAAATATACATTTTTTATTAAGTTTTTAATGTGTCTCAACTGTTAAATTATGCATTTACAAATATAAATTAATACCTACATCTAAACATATACTATTTTTATTTTATAGAACAGCAATAACAAACAGATGAGCAAAATTTTGGAGAAGGCGGTAGTGATTCTACTTTAACTTAGAATCTATTTACATTAGGTATATTTAATTTAACTGTTAATAGATTGTTATAAAAAGCTATTTATATTTAATTTTTATACAGTATGAAACTATATTTTAATACTTTAGTTACTATAGAAAACTCAAATATTCTACTCAAAAGTTAAGATAACCATTTATTTAAATATATTTTTTTAATTATACACTTATATTTATGTACAATACATTTTAGTTGAAATATTACTTTTTTTAATTTTTATTGTATAACGAAATACAACAATTTTTTGTAATACATTTTTATTAATTAACTTAATTTTTTTACTTTATTCGATTTGGTTAATTGTTGTACTTTTTTAAAAATTGAAATTTGGCAAAACTAATTTACTATTGTGGAGTGCCGTTGAGTATTGTGCGCAGAATAAAATATTACTACACTCCTACCAATCTTTTAACCCATGCGGCAAAGCCAAAAATATTAAAACTTTAAATACTCAATCTTTTATTTATTATTTTCAATATGGAATGTTTGATGTAATGGCCAATATTCATGAACATATTTTGGACAATATTAATCACGAGTTATATCACCAGTAATAATAATTATTACTGAAAAACTAATATTTAATTTCGTTGAATAACTTAACGTGACATACTTCTTTTGAATATAGACATCATAATTACTACATCAATTGTACTTTAGTGTTATCCAATAGTATCTTACGACTATTATTATGATATAATATAAAGTAATTAAATAATTGATTAATGGTTTTTAAAAAAAATGCACTACCATAATAGAAAACAATAATGTTAATTCTTCAGTGTGACCACTTTTACGAATACAAAATTATTTGCCGGATGAAAAACTAGTTTTCTGATTTGCTTTGAATCGCTATTACAATCAAGGGTCCGGATATTATTCTTAAAGTTCCTATCCGATATTTATTCCGGAACAAATAAACTTATTATTTCCAGAGTAAATTAAATGCCTTACCATTTATTTTATTCAACAAATGTTACAAAATATATAAAACTTGGATACATGTAGAGGTGGATCTCTTTTTTTTTTTTTATTTCGTTTAAAATAAAACTTATAATATAATTATAATACATTAATTGTAACGCAATGCATATAATAATTCAAATTTTAATATTTCAAAAACAAATGTAACCACTATTTATTTACATAGGTCATAAACATAATAGTCATAATAAAATACAATACAGTAATAAAAAAAAATATATATAATACATTTTACTTTAAGCACTATTTACTGTCCTTTATATAGTATAAGTTTGTTACACCAATTCCGTAACCTAGTTTTTTTAACTGCTAACAATTTATTGATTGTTAAACTCTTATATTTTTTTCAGTCTGCATACACAGTTTAATTAAATCAGGACTTGGGTATGACAAACCACCTTTATCCCTCAAATTAATTGCTTAAGACTTTAATTCCGTGATGCTCAGGTAAAAGGCATTAGTTCCAAAAATTGCGAAAATGGGGTTAAGTATTAATTGTGTAAAAAAAAATATTTGTGAAATTAGTTATTTTGGAAAAACATAATTTTATCCAACGACAAACTGAATTTAATCTATTTTAACACCTGTACACGTATATTCGGCGTTAACTGTATTCGTTTTGTCGATTGCAGGTCAAAATCAGTTTTTAAAATTTAATTTAGAAAAAAAAATTGCACTTAAGTATTAAAAAATATTTAATTTTTGCAAAAAGTAAATTATAATAATAAACAGCTAAAAACAGATTTTACTATTTCTATTATTATTTTTCCATACTATTTAAAATAGTTAATTAGTTTTATCATCAACCATTAATTTTGTTTTTAATATAATAATTTTTTTGATATATTGAACGCTGTACACGGTGATCATTGTGTCGTAAACCACTCAATATATCATAGGTTTTAATGCGCATACATTTCATTAGCTTTTTAAATTGTGAATAATGTACTAAAAATGATATGTTTGTTAGAATATATAACACATTTGAGTAAACTCAAATTTAAAATAATTCGCCTTGTAGAGTGGAATGTTGGCCAACAGTAAAGCTTGAGCGGGTTCAAAATTAGGCGCATTATTTTTGTTATTTTGATTTAATAACAATTGTTTGCATATTTTTTTGCAGTTTTCAAGTGTTGTGTGACCAAAAACCGGCATGTAAACGAAACGTAATATCAAACGGCCTGTTCAAATATTAAAAGGTACATAACCGTTTTGTTTCATTCGCGCACAATGAAATAACTGGAGCTCGTTTCTAACTTTAAGTAAATTGTTTCTAAGTAATCGTTCAATCGACATGTTTCCAAGTCACTATTAACTTAAGTTTTTAGTCAGTGATTCTATAAAAAAAAAAAAAAATAATAATATTTCTTATAAAATGCTGCACTCAAAATTGCTACTGGTAATCGTTTCGAGTTTGGTGGTGCCCGTGTGTCGATCCGCACTATCCGAGGAGAATGTTACCAAATCTCTAACTTTGAAATGCACATGTTTGATGTCCGGACTGACACACGTGCGATTGACCATGCTGGCGATTACAAACCCATCGACTCCGCCGAATTCACTTCTTAGCACAATAATGTGGTACAACGGCAGAGAAGTAATATCTGTACTGTACAATTTGGACGGTGTGAAAATCGGCTCGTTGTGGGCATTGCATTTATACACGGCGTTGGTGAGGCGTTACTTTGACGTGGAATCGAGTACCGAAGACCGGAGTGGCAGGTTGTACAACCTCGAGAGTAATATATTCCCGATACATAGTTATGTTACCGAATTACTGTGGTCCGACTGGCACGGTACCGGTTGTTCCAAGTTCGACATAGACGACCGGTACCGAAAATGGCTTGAACGAAAACCGGATGCCGATTTGTCGGAGATAACAGAAATGGTAAGGGACAACAACCATGAATTGCATTTGGTTTTGGACGAAAAAATAGACTCGATGAGCGCAGACGAGCATCTGACGACCTTGGCGTTGGCAGAGTCGTTGAAAATGAAAAATCTATTCTTGAACGACCTGGGCAATAATCACGACACCAGACGCGAATTGATGAGTTCGTACGACGTTCGAGTGAATTGGACGGGGGCCGACCGAATTCTCACAGAGGTCTGGGTAAATTTAAGTGTCATCGCGTGGACCGAAAATAACTTTCAAAACATCAAATCGTACTACACGGCGTGTTTTGATTTTTTCAAGATCATCTATTTCCACCTGATATGGAAGGACCTGTTGTGCATTAAAGCACTAAAACGCCATTCGTCCAAGTATATCAATTACGTACAAAAATGTCACGAGTTACTGACAGAGTTCGGCGAGATGTTACGCATCGAAGACGATACAGACATCCAGAAATTGGCAACATCTATCGACATGGTCGCCAAACGGAAGAAAGCAATAGATTACGCGATAGACGTTTTAAATGAAATACTGAACAGTAGCGCCATGTCATTAATGTGCAATGCCACCGATTGGATGACCATAACCCATGCAGAAGTGAGACGCGAATGGCGAGCCGTATTACTTGCCAAGGACGAATTTCCCGAACTCGGTACTCAGGAAACCGCGAAGGCTTTCATGAATCGTCTGACAACATTGTGTCGGGGAGTCGACTTTGGCATCATACGATCGCTCATTGTATTCATTGATGAAATCAACCAGGAGTTAAATAAAAGTCAGTAAAAACTGCGTTGTTGTACTGCGATGTTTGTCGTCTAGATATAAACATTTTCTTATTATAATAATTCATTGTCGCTGTTAAATTCCAAATAAACATTCTTTAATTCGAGTTATATTTCTGCATCTTTTGGTGTCCCTCGAGGTGGGTCATATTTCCCTTCTTTAACGTTCACGTCCTTTAAACAGTTTTGTAAACACCAGCTCTATGCTGGGGACCTAAAAAAAATATGCAATTACATCTTCGTTGGAGATTTGCATCTTGGTTTAAGCGGATTTAGACCAACTAAGTTGCCCTACTAAACTTGATTGAATAAGTACATGCTATTTTTTGAAGAAAAATCAATTCTAGCCGATTTTTTTATAATTAATACAATTCGGAATTATTTAAAATTTATTTAAAAAAAAAAAAATATTGCAGTATTGACATTGTTTAACACAATATTACAATTCATAGTAGCATGTTTGTTTTGTTTGGTTTGCCTTTTGTAGGCCGTCGTAAATGGTAAAAACACCATGTTCAGCTAAATCCTACGTTAAAAACAACTTTAAAAAAAAACATAACACTGTAAATTCTAAACCTTGTCAGCTTCGCAGCGAAGGCAATAACATTGTAATATTAGTTGTGTAATTGGCTGTTGAAAAGCTAGTTTCTTTTTAAATAAGTATACTCACAGTGAAACAAGAGAACACAGTTCAAAAACTATTTATATCTTAGCTAACTCATATATGTATAAATGAATTCATCGCTAAAATACATGGACTAAGTTGGCATTTATTGAATACTTACTTAGTATTTAAAGTCAAAATGCAATGAAGGCTATAAAAAAAAAGTCAAAATACAATATAAGACGTTCATGGAAATTCAGTACTAGATCAGGCTAGGTAATAATACAAATCAGAACTTCAATAAGTAATTAAAATAAATAAAACTAAGCTTATATTAAAATTGAAATTGATTATGAACCGATTAGAAATATTCTTAGGTTGTGATGGGCTAGATAAGATTAAAATGGTAAAATCAAAATATTAAACAGTACTGTAATAACGTCATGTTTTAAGCTAAACAGTTATTAAAAATTATATTCTTCGTCGAGCTGATGTTTTCAACGTAAGACAATACAGAAATATGAATAAAATTAAAAATTGTTATTATGGTTATCTTTAAGTTTTGATTGTAATCCAACTCATACATTTTTGTGCAGCACTAGTGTGCATACTCATTGGATACAATAACAAACATACTTTTAGGATCCTATCGTGTAGGGTTCAGATATATTGTAATATCAAATTAAACGATTTTTTTATCTACTTCTTTTTTCTGTATAGTTTTTAAATTCAATATTTAACTTAGTTAATGCATTTATGTATAGTGTAATTTTCACCTGCACGGCATATCTTTAGGGTATTCTTATTGATGTATCTAAAGGCTTTATCGACATACATGTAAATAAGGGACCTTATACATATTATAATATAACGTATTTGCACACGTGTGATTTCATATTGGTCATACGATTTTTTATAAGAAGCTGTTTAAATAAATAGGTCTAAAAAAAATGTAATGAATAACAAATTATATATATATATATTTTTTAAACTAAAACTAAAAAAAAATGTTCAGTGAAACCTGTCTACGATGGAATTTTATTTCGGTGCCGTGTGAATCCGTCTTAAACCGGTTTACAGTAATATTTTAATAAATTTTAATGGGAGGATATTTTTTTTGTGATTTTATCGGCTATAATTACAACAATTTCTAAAAACCTGCGTACTTCACGTCCCAACTGTTTTACCATTATTATATAGTTCTGTTCGTTTTTTTATCATATGGTATTTTAAATTTGTATCAACACGTCAAGCTACAGAGCAGTATTTATTTCTGTACTTCAATTCAGAAAAAAAACTAATTTTGATGGAGATAATTTTCCCTTACACATCCTGTTTGACGGTTTAAAATTCATTCACTAAAGAGAGTAAATGTTATAATACAATTATAAATAAATTTGAAATTTGAAGGCCTTACTACTTATGGTATAAATTATGTTTAAACACCTATTTATGCACTTAAATATCTCATATATATATAAGCAGGTAACTTTCCAATAGTAACAATTTTGAAGATTGGAAGTCAGAACGACGTACGGACTAGATATACTGTGTATCTAAACAAATACATTAAAACAATTAATATTTTTTTCACTGGTATTCTACATAAATAAAATGAAAATCTCTTACACTATTTTTGTGTTTCTTTTATATTTGTTTCAGTACGCTGATGCAAATCTTCTTGTAAGAATACTTTAAAGTATACTATTGATATCAGCTAACATTTATGACTTTTACATTGTTTTAAAGCCAACTCACATAGTTCAGCTTATAAGAATCGACAGCTGCATGAAAAATAAAGATTTGATGATAACTGATGCCAACTACAATGAGTCAACTGCCAACATGCAAGGCACGAATCACTGGACCCTCTACAAAGACATATCAGAAAAAATGAATATCTCGGTGAGACTTGGAAGATTAAAAATAACTTTTGAGAAATTTCGTAGAAAATAAAAGTCTTATCCATAATATTTTGTACATAAATAATATTGTTTAAGAACAAAATGATTATACATAAAAAAATTAACAATATATGGAAAGTGCAAGCAGAATTTCCGATAAATATTTTACAAGCCTGCTATGGAATAAGGAATGACGTTGCAATTACTCCGACTATACGACTTTTCATACCGTCATTCCCACATGGATGTCCTCTTCAAAAAGTAAGTGCAAAATATGATAGATTTGATGCAATATTATGGGCAATCAAATAACTAACAAATTCCATTCTATTTTGATGCTGGTTTTATACGACAGTGTGTACATTTAATAACGAAAAGTCAAGTGTCGAATCAGCTACGTCCAATAGTGCCGTTCGGATGTTGGAAAATTATACAAGAGGTTTACGGTCCAAATGAAAATGTCACTGGATGCTTTAGTATAATAGCATTGCAAACCACCGATTCTAACTGGAGTTCGGACAAAGTAAAATGTTTCTAACGTTAAACAATATTATAGTAATAAAAAAAAACGTAATATTATAATACTGCATAGTAAATTAGGCACATATTTTATTGATTGTTCTTAAATATTCTACCAGTTTTATGACACATGACATTCTATTTTTAAATATTTAATGTCCTAATAAATATATCGTTGTAGTTAAATAATATAATCAATGGCTATTCCTTTATTTATACATTTTAAAGTCTTATAATTACCGTAAAATCGCTATAAAATAATGATTTGATACGGCATAAGTATTGCAGGTTAATTAAAATATTAAGTAACCGTATTGCAATTAAATAATGTTATTTTTAAAAGCAGTCATTTGTAATATTTTTGCCCTATTTTCTTCTAGTTTATAATTTTGCTTTATTATTATTTTTTTTAATACGGTTTTAAATAAATTAGCCAACGTCTAGAAAATCAACGGGAATAGTTGGGAAGCATCTTAAATTTTAAAGTATGAAGTATGACATTACGGTTACTGGAACTGTATGACTCTATTTACTGATATTGCCCCACAGTTGTCCTTTGTAAAATTACATTATGATGGATATCTAGGTATAAGTTATAACAGCATTGTCATGTAGGGGAATTCATCTCTTGAATTTTAATTTCATTCAAACGTTTTAATTTTTCAGTTTGTTTTAGGGATTCACATTAACATTTTTTTTTTCTGAGTTGTTTTTTACGTATAGCTATAAATAATTCCTATAAAACTTTGACCTTCACGACCCAACGGTTTTGGCATTGACATTTTTTCTTTTATTTATTATAAAAAATATTGTATCTAAATGCTAAATTACACAGTAATTTTTTCCTGTGGGCATACTAAAAATATTAGTACAAATAATTATTAGTCTAAACAGTAAACACGTCCGGTATGACGGTAAAAAAACTTTTGTAATGCACATATCAGAAGGTCCTCCTATAATTTTTATAACAATACACGTTGGAAACCAAAATAGTTGAGATAATTTTCATTAGGACGCTAATTAAAATTTGTATGTTTTTTCGAAACAAATGACAACTTTTCAAAATATAGGTACCTAATCATTTGATAGATATTTAAATTGGATTATTTAAAATTTTTATTGATATCTATAATGAACCTTAAATTGAAATAATATCAAATATTGTCGTCTGTAAATCAATAACTTTGTTTATGTACCTGTAATAGGATTTAAGGTAAAATTTAATAATGTTTAATGTAATTGCGATGCTTCGGCTATAGTATACATGGCGGTCACGCTACTCTATTTTTTTACTTAGCTCTGTACCAGTACCGTGTCACTATATTATAATAAATTACAAACAACAGATGCGCATCGAGGTAAACCGCAACAATTTTTTTTTTAATAATATCGAATCACTGAACAGTATAATAATGTAAAGTACAATATTGCAAAGTATGGTTAGAATGAAAAACAAATTTTAAAACGTCAGTGTGGTCCTTATTAAAAAGAGGTACACCTAACGCTGTACGACATCAAAACGTTAAGTTTTAAAAATTAATATTTTTTTCACTGTTATTCTACATAAATAAAATGAAAATCTCTTACACTATTTTTGTGTTTCTTTTATATTTGTTTCAGTACGCTGATGCAAATCTTCTTGTAAGAGTACTTTAAAGTATACTATTGATATCAGCTAACATTTATGACTTTTACATTCTTTTAAAGCCAACCTACATAGTTCAGCTTATAAGAATCGACAGCTGCATGAAAAATAAAGATTTGATGATAATTGATGCCAACTACAATGAGTCAACTGCCAACATACAAGGCACGAATCACTGGACCCTCTACAAAGACATATCAGAAAAAATGAATATCTCGGTGAGACTTGGAAGATTAAAAATAACTTTTGAGAAATTTCGTAGAAAATAAAAGTCTTATATCCATAATATTTTGTACATAAATAATATTGTTTAAGAACAAAATGATTATACATAAAAAAATTAACAATATATGGAAAGTGCAAGCAGAATTTCCGATAAATATTTTACAAGCCTGC